CATGCCTGGATCAGCTACGTCTGGCTGACCGGCAAGACCAGAGGGAAGGAGATCAATCTCATGAACCTCACCGAGACTGAGAGACTCCAGTTCGACGCGAGCATGGCCAAGGAGTGGGAGAACTGGCCCAACTTCAGGGCGGTGACCGTGATCACGGGCGACATGGCCAAGGAGTTGCTGGGCAGGGTCAAGGCGATACCGTCGAGATGGGTCCACACGAATAAGATCGAGTACGACCCGAAGCTACCCCTGAAGGCGAAGTCTCGACTGGTCGCAGTCGGCTGCTACGAGTCGGTCCAGGTGAGGACGGACTCCCCTACTTCGTCCCTGCTGGTATTCCACGTGATCTGCAGCGCGGCGGCCAGGAAGCACTGGCCCCTCTTCAAGCTCGACGCTACGAGTGCATCTCTTCAAGGAGATGACGTTGACCGGATGCCCGTGCTGCGACCTCCTACACCCCTGCCGCCTGGAGTTCAAGCTAACACGGCGTTCGCCTGTCATGGTGCTATCTACGGCACCAAGGACGCTGGCAGGAAGTGGTGGAGTAAGCTACGGAGGACGCTGCGCAATCCCTCATGGCAGGAGAGCCGTTTGGAGAGGGCGTTCTTCCTCCTGTTCGAGAATGGCAAGCTCGTCGGGCTCGTTGTCACCTACGTGGACGACCTGTTCCCAACTGGCGACCCCGAAAGTGACCTGTACAAGAATACCATGGACGAGCTCAACAAGGTACTACTGCTCACGGAGGAGGCGCCGCCCTTCCGGTACTGCGGCAAGGACGTCGAGCAGATCGAGGACTACACGATCAAGATCAGCACGACACACTTCATTGACCAGATGGCGACCATCGTGATCTCCTCGGCCAGAGCGAAGCAGATCAAGGCGTTGGCTGCGGATGAGGAGCGGAGTTTTGCAGAGTCGGTGATCGGATCACTCGGATGGCTTTCCAGGCAACTTCGGATGGACGTCTCCTTCGGCTACAGCTGGCTGGCGCAGCAAAAGAACCAAGCGACCGTGCAACACCTACTGGAGGTGAACAAGCTGGCTCGCTACTGCCAGGAGACGCGCGACGTGTGCCTGTGCTTCCAGAGCGACACTCTACGACAAGACGGAGGCCTACGTGCTGCCGACAGCCGCCTCAACAACGTAGACGATCACGACCTCGGCCCGCATGGCGAGAAGGTGAAGCCTCTCGGCTCGGCTTCGGGTGCCTGCTCTCCAGCGACGGCCTCTGCAACCAACAAGAAGGACCAGTACACTTTCGCGACTGGGGCAGCTCGACAATCAAGAGGGCTTGTAGAGCCTCGATGGGAGCAGAGGCTCACGGACTGACGGAAGGAGCTGAAGCGCTGGAGTGGATCAGGGCAGTCTACTATGAGATACAGAAGCCAGATCAGCCATTGGGCGACCTGGTCGACGACGCGGCGACCCTGATCCCAGCCACGTGGTTTGACGATGCCAACAGCCTGGTGACCCACCTCCTCGCGGACGCTGGCCAAATCGCAGATCGTCGAGTGCGAGTAGTCACCGCAGCCCTACGGGAGATGGCATCGAGATGGAGTCGACCTGAAGTGGTGCGACACATCGGTTCAGCTAGCAGATGCGTTGACGAAGCTGGAAGCTGAGCGAGGATACGTGACGAAAGCGATGATGGACGTCTACGTGAGTGTGAAGGCCTCCGCCGAGGCAGCCTCCGCGAAGGAGGCAGTGATGATGGCACACCACCGGCGTGCAGATGAGCGTCGAGCCCGCGACGCCCAAAGCAGAACCACCGCTAGGGTGGAGCACAGTGCACAGCATGGCGAATTGTCTTCATATTTTGGGTCTCCGCCCGTGTTCCGCGGCGCTTCCGCGCCACTACGTGTGACTTGGTGTCGGACGTCGGCTTGACGACCGGCCGATCTTTTCTGGAATAATGTAGCCAATTGATCGAGGACGGGTGTTGAAGTGCCCCAGCGATCATCCCACCTTTTAGCCTGCTGTGCCGCTGCCCGCTCTCACCCGCTCAGACAGAACATGTCGGTTCACAGAGCTCTTGAGTTCACGGTTGCAGAAAACCTCACAGATTCCAGCGGGCGGCGGCCCGCCACTTGAGAGGAGGAGGAGGAGGAGAAGGAGGAGGAGGAGGAGGAGGAGAAGGAGGAGGAGTTGGAGGAGGAGGTTTGCTGCAAGAACGATGCCTGGCGGTCCCCGCCCCAGCTCGCCACATGTGAGTCGGATGGGCGGGCACTCCGCCTCGGGGTGCCATCCCGCCCCTTCCTGATTCAGTCCATGAGGCACTCCCAGAAAGCTGCGCACTCCTCCTGTACGAGGGAGCGCGGTACCGCCTCCAGGGAGACCTTCACTGCGTAAGGATTTCTGCCTCGGCGCAGGAGCGAGAGGCGGTACCCTGCGGTGGGGTTCGCAGGGGCCCCCACGCAGGCACCCAGGAGCTTGCACCCCCTCTCGCTCGAGAAAACACCGCACCGATCACAGAATGCATACTGGCCCACGCGGTGCAATTCGTGCCCCAGGGCCGCACCGCGGAGGGCGGGAGAAATGCCACCTTCCCCTTCCCCCCGCCCCAGCCCGACTCCCCACCGACGATCCACCCTCATCTTACCCTGGCAGGGCCTGCGCGCCAGCGCGCGCCTGGTCTTGCTGGAGAAGGCCTTACGTCCACACGTCGAGCAACGCCACGCCCCCCTCCTCCAGAGGAGGACGTGGGCGCGGGCCCCCTCGGGCGGCCCTTGCCGCCGTCGGCGGGCCCCGCTGGAGCCCGCGGCAGGCCTCCCCGTGGAATCCCCGAAGTCCGCCGTAAGCCCCGTCACCCCCGCCACCAGAGTCAACACCGCCTGGACCTCCGCCGAACGGGTGGTCCAGGTCTGGGCTTTCCACGGGGGAACCTCCTGCATGTCGGCCCCAAGGCGGGCCTCACAGTCTGCCAATTGATTCCCTTGAAAATCGAGAAAGCTCTCGTGCGAGTCATCCTTTGGCCCGCGAGCATGGGCTTTTACCTTGACGGCCTGGAAATCACCTTCCTGGCTGAAACTGCCCTGGAGCTGGGCACGTGGCCTCCTAGGGCTGCAGCGCCAGCGGGGACCTCTACGGAGGCCTCGAATGACTGAACTATTGTCTATCCCTACCCCCAGGGGAGGGTGAGCGCTATTCAGCAGCTTGAGCAATCCATACAATTCAGCCCGTAGGACGGAGGCTAGGCTACGCAGCCCTGGGAGGGCCCCCCGCATGGCCTTAACAGCCCCCCCGTCCTGGTCCAGGAAAACGTAGCCCCAACCGAAGCTCTTGAGCCCTGGTGGGCCGCTGGCCGATCCGTCGGAGTAGGCCCACCCTGAGACCAGCGGGGGATTAACAAAATCGGTGTTTTCCTCCTCCAGGGCAGAAATCCAATCAGACTGCGGGTCCTCCAGGGGGTGCTCGTGAAGCCCACGGGAGAAAAGGAGGGAGTCCGAGGTGGAGGATTCAGCACGACGCACGATCCCTTGGAGGCCCTCATCCTCGGCGACGGTGGCTCTCGCTGCCCCCCGGTCTGGGCAACAAAAGAAACGATGGTGCTGGCATCCGACTTCAGCGCCGCAGGCTTGACAGGACCTGTCGCCCCCGAAACCCGCGCGCCAGACCTTTTCCTGGGTCCAGAAGTCGCGGCCCATGTAGGCCAGGATAGCCGATCGCCTCTGCGGCGATCGGTTAGCCTTTCGTCGAAGGAGGGCCCTAATAGGCTCGAGGAAAGGACGGGTGATCCCGAGGTCCCTGGAAGCCGCCCAGGAGGTCATCACCGCAAATTCCAAACGGGACCAGATCAGCTTCTTGAGACACTGCGGTGCTGTCCTACGCAACTCCCACTGCTGCCCGAGATGGTCGGAGAAAACATGATGGGCAGGCCACGTCCACGAGAGGAGCCTGAGTGTGGCCCAGACGGCTGCAGCAGGTCCTTTTATCTGTCTCCAGGGGTTGCTCCCAGGCTTGGCGGCCGCGGCCGCCGCAACAGCTCTGCGCCACCCCGCAGCCATGATCTCCTCATGGCTGCCAGCAAAGATAGCCTCCGCTCATTTGAGCAGTGGCTTCGTGCAGGCGTCGACCAGGGGGTCGCAGCGCAGCGTCCACAGGCGCAGCAGTCGGTCCTTACCGATTGCGTTCCCGCCCAGCGCTGAGGCCATGAGTGCCCTCGCTCGGGTGAGCCGAGTCGGGTCCCTTCCGAGGCAGACCGCCCCATACAGCACAGAAGGGGGAAATCCCATGCGGGCGACTTGAAAGGTGCGCGCGCCCTGCTTGCCGAGACTCGATAACTTATTTCTGCGCCGCCTAGCGCTCCCCATCCTGGCGCCGGCCCTGGCGCGCAGCGACACAACTCCTCCTCCCGCCGAGTCGACTCCGAGCTGCGTGCTGCTGGTCTGGACCTCCAGTCCAAGGCTGTGGGCCCAACCTTTGATGCGGGCTCGCAAGGAGCGCTCGCTGCGCTGTCATGATGATACCCTTGCCCGTTGGCTTGTCTGGTCGGACCCTGGAGACTGGGATCCCACGGGCCTCCATTTCTTCTATGTACTGGGTTGTGGCCGCATGCAGCGAGGCCGAGACATCCGCCTCCGCACCTCGGGCCTGAATGCTTAAATCATCGACAAAAAGCTTCAGCGGCATGGCAGGGTGCTCCTGCGCCAGCCCGTCTACGACTGACAGGATGGCTAGCTTGAGGCATCTCGTGCCCCCGCTGCTACCCGCAATGACTGCTGAGAATGTGGTGACCGAATGCACCGACACCACGCCGCGGAAAGAAACAAAACGCTCGGCCGTGTATATCGAGATTAAGAGCTTCAAGAGCTGCAACCGAAACTGATGATTGGGCGCCTCAGCCCAAAGCAAGTACATTGTGACATGCTCGAACGCCTTCTCTAGGTCTAGGACCGCCGTAGCCGTTACCTCCCCAGGCTGGGCTCCTTCGTCGAACAACATTTGCGGAGGAGGAGGAGGAGGAGGAGGAGGAGGGGGAGCAGGGAGCCCCCCACTGCGGCCTCCAGGTAGCAGCGCAGCAGCGGGAGGCCCTCACTGTAGAACCCCCTGGCGGAGCGAGGGGCTCTCCCGCGCGGCCGAGCCCCGACGGGCAGAAGCAGCAACGGCGGCTCCCCGCCGCGGTGTCCTCGTCGTCATCGTCCTCCTCGTCCTCGTCCTCGTAGTCGTCTCCTCCTCCTCCTCCTCCTCCTCCTCCTCCTCCGCCTCCTC